CAGTCTGTCATACATTTGTCGTAGTGCCTGCCCGATTTCCCTGCTTGGACTTGGCCTTACCTGATTTCTGCTTGTCTCAACTCCGCAAACCAAACCAAAACCCCAGACGTTGCATGGACTGGATCACTGGTCGCTGACTGTCTCGTCCAGCACACAACCACACAAGCAGTCTGATACTGGGCATCTCCTAGACTAGTGCGAGTGATACATCGGCGGCAAGCTTTTCCATAGGCGCGGAGATTCAGCGCCATACATCACGGTGGACTCTTCCTGCAGCTATTCGGCACCCCCCCCACCTGATCGTCTCCTCTTCTGCATTATCAAAAACAGCCATGAGTCCTTCAAGCCCAGTCGGTGGTAAGCCGCCTTCTTACGAGCCAGTTCCCGCTGTCGACATCGACGAGAAGGCTGCCATTCAGACACCAAAAGATCTCGAGGACGGCCAACCACAACCTCGACGCAAAACCATGACTTTCTGCCGAAGAGCCATGTTAGTCTTGGGCCTCACATGGCTGGTGCTAACCGGTGTGGCCATGGCCGGCCCTCACCCGCGGTGGAAGATGCCGTGCCATCAGGCCGAAGGCCAGCAAGAGGTCGCCGATGCCTCAAGGGATTCATCATTCTCAACTCTACTGAACGCGGCATCGCCCAAGTCTCTTCACGACCTTCTCCACCGGTACTTCCCCGAGAAGTTCCAGGACGGTGTCTGGCCATCGGAGCGCGATGCCGTTGCGGCCGTTCACCAAGCCAATGCGGCTTTGGCAACGTCCATTGTCCAACTGGCCAAGCGGGACGCGAACTCGACCTCGATCGAAACCTCCACTAGCGTGCCTGAACCCGAGCCCACAACTTCAACGTCCTCTACTTCTGTGCCCCCAGTTGAGACCACCACCACCACCCCAACCAGCACCTCGGTCATCACTCCCAGCAGCAAGCCGTCTCCCACGCCCACTCCCGAGCCTACTCCTACTACACAACCTGGTACGTCCCTCACGAGTCCCACAGGGAACACTCTTCCCCCGGATGACCCTTCTTCTTCTGTGCCGCGGACGACTGTTGGTGCGTCTTCCACCTCTATGGCTTCGTCGTCCTCTTCGTCGTTGTCGTCGTCCTCTTCATCGCAGGTGTTGTCTTCTGCGGTTGATGGAGGTACGTTCGGCTTTTTTTTCCCCCAGACGTTTTGCTCGACGTTTTGCTCGTTGATATGAATTTGGAGGTGATTGCTAATAGTCATCATAGAAACGACTTTGACGACCTCTACCATCCTGCCTGATGAGGAGACGTCTACTTCTACGCCTCCTCCCAACACGACCAACACGAGACGTACCTCTAGCTCTATCGTCACCACTTTCACTCAGACCTCCAATGGCAATGTCATCACTGTCACATCGACGACTTTTGTCTATGACATCCCGGTAGAGACGACGCCAGCGGGTGCTGAGGAGCCGACTGTTACCCCTAGCCTCCAGAACGGGGCTCCCGGGATGCAGAAGCAGCAAAAGGGGTCGTTGTTGGCGGGTGTTATTGCTGCGATGGGCATGTTTCTGATTTAGTGGGTGGAATTGGTGCGGACGCAAACCGGGTGGGAATGGGGGCCCCCTGTTTGTTTTCTGGCGGGCATTGAGCTGGGGTGCTTCATGGTGGCGGCTCTTTTCTTTCTGATGGTGGTTCTTTTCTTTCTGTCGTTCTGCATCGCAATGGGTCTTGGTTTTATTTTCAGGGTCTTGGGGTTCATCATTTCCTGTTTTCTTGGCGAGCCGTACTGCGTCATTCACGGCCGGCGCAGGCATCACATTCATTACGGGAGGGATATACACATGGTAACAAAAGGGAAACATATGGCATAGATGGAACACAAACACACGCACAGAGAGAGAGAAGGGAGGGAATGTACATATATACGGGTATTATAATTGGTGGATTAGAGGGATCAATGGATGGGTAGGGAGCAGCTTTTTGCTGTAGCTATGCTGACATGATGATAGAGGAATACTATTGACATTACAAAAAGAGACATGAGTGAGATTGTGATCCTACGAATTATATCTCTCTCCATCATTCGAATCCCTAGCCTCTGCCATGTTTTGGCAACTCCAAAAGTATAGGTAGTGATTGCGCATGATCTCGCTTTATTTATTATGGCCGCTATGAGAGTGATTTTGGGTATCGAAAATAGCATGGAGAAGTAATGTAAACAAGGTGTCTCTGGTGAATGTCTCGAGTTGGAATGTGCCCCCTTTTTCCCGGACATTCAACAACAAACAGGCGTGATGTGATTTAACCGGGCCCAATCTTTGGCATATCGTGGTGCTCGCTCAGCCTGGAGAGGTGGGAATTCAGCTCCTCGACGCGCTGCTTGTGGGTTTTGAGGAGCTCGGGGCGGAGTTTGCCCGAGGAGGTGAGTTCTTGTAACTATTGATACAACACCCGTCAGTTACAGCATTGAAGGATGGGATGGTGGTGGGGGGGGGTGGAAGCATACCCTCTTGCGCTTTGCCTCTAGGAACCTGCGCTCTGCTTCTGTCTTTGGGGGGTCATTATCATCGTTCTCCCCGTTTTCTGGTGGTGGTTCTTGGGATGGTGAGCGGCGTTGGGGTTGTTTTTCTGAGTCGGGGGTGGGTTCGGGTGTTGGTTTGTCTGCTGGGGGACCGGTAGAGAGGTTCTTTTCTAGGTCGGAGGGTTTGGATTTGGATTTTTTCTTCTTCTTTTTTATGGCGGCAGGGTTGTTGGAGACGCCTTTTAGTTTGAGGGTGCCGGGGACTGCGGCGCGGTAGTCTTCTGAGGGCATTGTGGGCGGGGGTTATAGGGGAATGGGGGGATGTGGGAGGACGGGAAGGGTGGTGATGATGGGTTGATGGTTGAACTGCGGCGACTGGAGAAGGCGGTGGAAGATGGCAGGGTGCGATAAGATTCAGATAAGATACAGACATGTGTGTGGGGCGAAAAAGCGGGCGCCGTGTCGCGCCGAGAAAAAAAGCACAGACCCGGATCCCACTGAAAAGTTTTGGGGTATATCTTTAGATTTTGCGGTGCGAATTTGACGGTTTCTTCTTTTTCTTCTTTAGATCAAAAAGTATTCACGGAGCTGCCACGACCGTCGCTAGTATCCCACGGCGTCTGGTTGCCTGACCCTCGTTTGAGAGTCGCGCTCCGGAGATTGAAATCCTTGATAGGAAGTTTTGCACCTTTTCCTCTGTGGGTGTTAAATGCTGAATGATTGGAGACATTTTTTTTTGTTTGCTGTTGATGATGGGGATGGAGGGGCTGGTTGAGGGCTTCTCTGGACCTGGATTATCAAGAATTACGATTGATTGCTGTGATTTTGCTGCCAAGTGCTGCGATTGCTCTGCTATCAATCAAGTCATTGCCGTCAAGCTGTGATTTGCAACGTTTGTTGATGTGGGCTTCTCGTGGTGTCGTTGGCATTCGCGATCTGTGATCCAGGCCCGGGCTGCCCAACTTCCATCACTGTGATGATTCTTGAACACTTGCTGCTGTACGTGCATTTCAACGCGACTCTTATCTGGTCCCTACGCTCTGGTTTATTTTTGTGTTCGTCACTGGCATCTCGACGTCTCAGACTCGTCCCAGCTCAGTCCCTCATGTGGTCGCGTCTCCCGCTTCCTCACCGACGACGTAGGAATGCTTCTCAATATGCCCCCATTCCCGAACCAAGACACCACAACATAGCTCGGGACGGCCGTCCAAATCACTCAGGCGTGGGAGGTAACAGTTTCAAATCAGAGATGGGTGATCGAGTGATTCTGTTCTGGCATATAAGCCACGATAGACACGACCACCATGGCGAGCTCTTGTTCTCCTTTTTCTTTCCTCAAGGTTTGGATCATTCAACCGTAGTCGCTCTCTGTGTTTTTTCTTGTTTTTCTTGACAGACACCCTCTTTTGACTTCAGTCACTCTTTTTGACTTGTTCTTCTACTACTACACTCTTTTTAGACTCTTTAAATTCATCATCGTCATGTCGTAAGCTTCCTTCCCCCCTTTCTGTGATATATATCGACTGGTTGTCTAATGATGGAGAGTAAAAGTGAGTGGATAGGCACCGACGGACTATACTCCGCCTCTCTCCTCTCCTGCGACCCCCCCGAGCCTACTTTTACCCGTGAATGGGTCGTCAACTTTATCGCTGCCGACGCGAGCTCTTCCTGGGATGCTGCTTATACGATTATGCAAGAGTTCACTGGCGATGCCAACCTCTGGTCTGTCCCCGAGAGCGGGATCCCCCCCAACTTTGTCCAGACTGCCGTCAAGTGTGCCGGGTGCGCCGAGCCGACTGTTACGATCACTTGCCCGAATGTTTTGGGGACGGAGGCTGCTGTTGTGGTGGGCAATGGTGTTTGGGCTACTGTTGCGCCTGAGGCTGAGGTTGAGGCTGGTGCTGCGGTGAATGGTGAGCCGGGACGGGTTGCGGCTGTTTCGCGGGGTGAATGGGAGGGGGATGGTGATTGGGAGCTTGTTGCTTCTGGGGAGGGGCCTGACTTTGGGTTGAGCGGTAGTCTCTTGGGTGAGTCTGGGGATGGGAATGGGGAGGAGGCTGTTGTTGAGGGTGGTGGTGCGTCGGCTGCTGGTGTTGCTGCTGCCCCGGCGGGGGTTAATGTGCCTACTGGGACGGAGGAGAAGGTTGCTTTTGCTACTGCTGGGGCGGGGAGCTTGACGCTCAAGAGGGGGTTGATGTGGGGGCTTGCTTTGGGGTTGGTGGCTTTCTTCTAGATGACTGGGGATGCTTTGAGACGGGCGTTTCTTTCTGTTAGGTTTGGGATGTTGTGATGTACTTTGGCAGCAACATATGGCGTTTAGGAGACAACACACGATCTATTCTTTTCTATGAAAGACAGTCTTTATCAGAAGTTGACGCCGGTGTATGGGCTTTGGACACTGCCAAAGCCTTGCGGACAAGCTCTTCCCAAGGCAGTGCTGCCACTCCTTATGTAGCAGATCTTCGCTGCTGCGCAAGCATCACTTGTACAGTTTGGACTCCTGATACTACTCTTCCCTTGGTAGGTGTTGAACAGACTGACCAGCCCTTTGTCCTTTTCCATAGCTTCTGTGACTCGATGCCAAAACGTGGCGTTTAGAGGTTCGCCCTCGGGCCAGTCTGCCGCTGGACTGTAGGCCTCGCGTGTAGAGTATTCGAGTTGGAAGACTGGCCCGGTACCATTGAGAGTAGTGAAGGTGTTGACGTCAGCGTAGTAAGTGTAGGCTTCGAATATTTCCCATGTGCCAGTGTCGACTTCGTACAGGCGGTAACCCGAGTTCAGGTTGGTTAACGGGGTCAATGAGGGGCCGGTCCATGCCGCAACAAGAGCACCATATGCTGTTTGTAAAGTTCCATTGTTACTGTAGAAAATGGAAACTTGATCTGGCAGGAATTGAAGTCAGTTTGGAGGCTCTTGTAGCAATATCAAGAATCAAATACGTGCCTTCATGGGTGTGACCGAAAAACACGTTAGCAATTACATGCGGAGAGTATCGCTCAATGATTTGATAGAAAGCATCCGACCCCCCAGGGAGAGCATTTTGGCCCTGCCAGCCGGTGGGCACATGGCCCATGATCCATACCCGTTGGCCTTCGTCCTCAGCTTTCTGAAGCTCTTCGACGAGAAAGGAGAAAATTCCCGAGTAGTCTGGGTTGTCAGCATGTAGAAATGCAAAATTATTGGCTTGGTACCAAAAATCGGTGTTGATTGTAATAATCCTCAAGCCCAGCGGATGGCCAATAGAGTAGCCGCCGTAATGCAAAGAAGCTTGGGTCTGAGTAGCATTGTCAATCCAACCATAGTGCTCCCAGAGCTTGGAGATATGATCGTAGTGCCAGGAGAACTGTTGGCCGAGAGGCCCGTTGCGGTCGATGGAATGAGGACTTTCGAGGTTGGTTGGGACTGAGTCGTGGTTCTGGATTTCGTGAGTAACTTGACCACCTTCACTAGAGATAAATGGAGGAGACAACATAAAAACTCACACCAAGTGCCACATAGATGGGCCCCCCGATGTATGCCTTGAACATTTGCCAAACGGACACCTCCGTGGAGTGTACATATTCTCTTCCGCTCACACTTTCTATTTCATGGGCAACCAAGTCGCCACTGTACAAAGTAAACGCTGGTGGGTTCTCGATTGAAACACCAGTCAGGGGCTGAATGGATTGGAGCGCGGCAAGTGCTAGGTAGTAGGGAGAATCACACTTGTAAGAACCAAAAAGTGGTGCCGGCTGATTGATAACAGCTTGAGTTGAGTTCAAGTTCGCAAAGTTGGTTGAGGAGATCCTGCAACACATCCCAGCAGTACAGTTTGCTTCAGAACCAGTTTTGTATCGGGTGTCCAGGTGAAGGTCCGACAGGTGCAGAACCTTGACTCTTTTCCCGCTCCTGGATGGTGTTTTGGTTTTTTCCGGCCTTGGTTTTGGAAAATGGACTTTATATGGAACGACTGTAGGTGGAGGGCAGAAAGTAGGACTCAGCCAGGCGCAGATATACTGTCCATCCAGTCCCGATACATTGGCAAAAGTCAACACCTGTGTCCATGGAGCGCCGTAAGTGGCGGCCTGGTATGTCTGCTCACACACAGTTGCTGTTTGAAATCCTGTCCCAATGCAAAGGGATATCATAACCTCAGGCAACCACGCAGGCGCAAATCTGGCCACGGTTTGACCGACCAACAGGGAAGCTGTGCATTTGGAGCAGTTGTCTGATGTGTTGGTTTCCAAGATGGCCCAGATTGAGTTGATGGCATCGTGGACTAGGGTGTTGGCATCTTTGTATGTCAGGTTGGCCAGAGCTGGGGGATACAGAATTGGGTCCAGACCATGAGTCGGTGTCCTGTCTGGGTTTGTGAGGTTAAAAGGGAAGGTCACGTTTGACACCGGGTCAATAATCACGGGTTGAGGTTGACTGTCCGTGGTCGGCCCAGGGGTGACTGATATCAAGACAGTCAAGGTCAGCTTTCGAGGATCACCCGAGGGCGTATTTTTGTGACTACGAACCATAGTAGTTCTGAAACACCGAAGTCGGAAAAGCAGCAGGTACGGTGAACGCAGATAGGAGACTCGGTTCGCCATCAGTGATACTCTGCGTAGATGACACAGTAGTCCCTGAAACAACCGAGCCAGGTGATGTCCAGGAGGGGGCCAAGAGAAGAAAGAGATGAGTGATTGGCCACATTTCCAACTTTAACATGAATCAAACCTTTTTTGGGTGTGAGGGGCATGACGCGAACTACATACATATCTGTGATCCCAAGTCCCTTTGCACAGGTGAGTGCTCGTGTAGCCTGGCTTGTGTGAACGGCTGGTTTCTGAGCGTTTGTCGTTACAGCCGAGTCTCAACGGCCAGAACTAGCTTCTTGCCGATGTTGCCTGTCTGCTGCCTGCTGCTTGATGAAGAGGTCATGGAATAATCTTCTCCGCAGTCTAAAGCTAAGATGTGATTCGGCCTGATAGGTAGACTCCTCTGATATCGTGGCTCAACAGAGCAGGCGGGCCATCTACTCTTCATTGTCGACTGTCGACAGTCGGCCATCAATCTTCCAAGCCGCAAGGGAGCCACTGTAAGCTGGCGGGCAGGTGAAATTCTTGAGAAGACCTTGAATTAACCTGACCCGCGAGGAGAGACCTATATGTTATCTACCTTGCAGCCCACAACCTTTTCCATTTCCGTTCTTTTGCCAGCACCATTTTCCGCCAGCAAACAAGCAAGTAAGTAAACCAACCGGGGCCGGGGCCGGGCTTGCAAACAAAGAAATAGACTGACCAGCGCCGTGAGCGAACCCAGATATCCCAGCACCAAGAACCGCTTCGACGCGAAAACAAACGCTTGCAAACCCGCAACCAGAGACTTGCTTGGACGGCCCACAGCCAAGCGAAGCGCCTGAGCACGTGACCTCCCAGAGACCTCCCGGGCTAGGTAAGGCTGACCAATCAACGCGTGTACTCAATTGACAGGACCCTTGCCAAAGCGTGGCCAACTCGGTGCCAAAGGCCCGGCTGTCGCAGCCTTCCCAAATACCCAAGACAATCACCAAGGCGCTTGGTCGCCGGTCTGTAATACGAGTTCGCGTCCCGTCGCGGAAGCCCACTGGCAGCCTTGCCCATTCTGTCAAAAGGTTGCCAATGCCTGCCAGAAGAAAGGCCAAGTCCAAACCGCCCAAAGCCAGACATCGCAAGGCCACACGCGATCCCACTCCTGAAGAGGAGTACCAAGTCCGCAGCATCCTCGACGAGAAGGTCGAGCGCGGCAAGCTCTTGTACTTGATAGACTGGGAGGATAGCCCCGAGGGGCTGACCTACGATCCAACCTGGGTACTTGATGATTCCTGTGCTGTTTAGCTTGCCTGTCAAAGCTGCTTGTCTCGTTCAATTCCCTGGGGACGCGCTAACCGCCATGGGGTGTTTCCTCTTCTTAGGAGCCTGCCAAGCACGTAAACGAGGTAGCCATCAACGAGTGGGAGGCCGAGAAGAAGAAGAAGAAGAAGAAGCTCCTCGCTGGGGAAGGTCAGGAGAGCAGAAAGCGATCAGCAAGCTCTCTGCCCGAAGCCGCCGAGGACGAGAACGAGGAAGACGACGCGAGACCTTCGAAGAGGGCCAAGGGCGACGACTCGGGCTATACATCGCCAGAGCTAGAGCTTGGGGTTGAAGTTGATAATATTCCTGACAAGGCAGGGAGGCAGCTTGTACTGGATATTCATCTGCCGTCACAAGTGGATCCTAACGACTATCAGTTGTTTACAGCATCTCAGCTCTCGTCTCAAAACAGCAGTCAGCTCGATTCCACATCCCATACCGATAGCAACGAGGCCTCATCTGGAAAGGTTCTCAACCAGCGAACCATACCTGATTCCCAAGCCACTGGCGAGTCGGAGCTCAGTTCAACGATCCCGGAGATTGTGCTGGCTAGCCAATCGCAAGGACGGAGAGTGGGTTCCCTCGAGCGTGAGGAGCAACAAGCGTTGGATTCTCAAGTCGCGAGCGAACAATCGCAGCAGGCAGAGTGTGAGCAGCAGGTCGAAGAGCACCAGCAGAAGGTGGGGCAGAGCCAGCAAGAAGAGCAACAGCGCAAGGAGCAACAAAAGTCCAGCCGGGAAGAAGAACCTCAAGTATCGAACACGTTGGACCACGACGAGGGGACGATATCAGAGTCTCTGATACCATCGCGCCAACCTGATCCATCACATCAACCTGTCAACCACAACACGCCACAGGCGTTTCGAGACGAGAATAACCATTCACAGAGCAGCTCCGTGTCGGGGTTCTTGACGCAGCCCGACTACCCTCACCTCAGCAACGACCCCTTTGGTGGAGTGGAGTCCGCTGTGGCTGAGGCTTACCAAGGCAGCGAAGTGAATCGAGATAGTCAAGTTGCGATTAGCCAACAACGCCGCACGCCTGCACCCATCGAAAACTCCTCCATCCCAAGTGTGAGCAACGCGCCGCGAGCTGATTCACCACAGGTCACCTCACCAGAGATCTCGAGCTCCAGTTGGCAGTCGCAGCAAGCGCAGTTGGTAGATCCATTTGTGCCACTTTCGAGCCACTTGAACCAAATTCGAACTCAAAGCCAGGAGTCGAGCCAAAGGGTCGAAGAGTTCGTTCCCGAAACGGCGCAAAAAGAGAGGACTCTGGTTTCCAACAGCGAACACCACAAAACCCCCTGTCAGTGATACCCGCTTGGCCAGAGCCGCAAGTTCCGGTTCTGTTCCGCCGCGCAGTTCTACCTTCCCCACTACTCAATCTCTCCCTCAACGATCAGAAACTGAAACATTACGACCAGTCTCCAACAACATTCGAATCAAAATGGGGCCAACGCCGCCATCTGGCAAGCAGTCCGACGCTGTCGCAGATCTGAGATCAGCCCTACCAGACTGGATGCTGCATCCAGAACCTGAACCAGAACCGCAGCCAGAGCCAGAGCCAGAGTTGGCAGTCCACCAGTCGCATAACCCAGAGCCTTCATTTCCAGTATCGGAAGAGGCTCAGTCGCAACCTCCACCACCCCCACAACCTCAACAATCTTCATTTCCCGTTTCGGAAGAAGCCCAGTTGCAGCACACAGAGCCTGCAGTTCCAATGTCCGACATGACCCATTTACATCACCCGCAGCCGTCAATCTTATCCGAGGCCGGTCCAGGTCCAGGTCCTTCTCCCCCCATTGCGGTACCAATATCAAGCCGGAGCCTTCCTCGGCGTGACGCAGTGGAAGAATTGCGAGAAGCCATCGGTCTTCACGATGGCAGTTTATTTGAGGCCCCACAAAGCCACTACCCTGAAGAAGCCCTCACGCTTTCTTCTACCGAGCTCCCTGTTATCGGCAGCCATCATCAGCACAACACCGAGATGGAGTATGAGAATTTACCAACGACAGTTGCTCCGTCGGATCTAACGACCTCTGTGGATCTCTCACACGGTGTAGGCGAAGGCCCAGCCATGTCGAACCCTCTGTTCTCGGTTCACGATGTACAACCACTGGGGACCGCCGAGGTGGATTCCGATCACGACGCGGCACACGACATCGATGAAAACTCTATTGAGCTTCGACAATTCGTGGTAACTCTACCCATGGCGGCCAACACCCGGTCGCTCTATGTCGATGTTATTGCTCAAAACCTGCAGGCGATGACTGAGTTTGGCGATGTCTACTGCGAACCAGGCTTGCAAGCTCCGGACGATGCTCTGACGGCCAAGATTGATGCCTTTTTCAGGCGATTGAACGACCTGGTTGACCTCCCAGCATTCGACGACGACACATTCCATCAACTCAACTCTGAAGGCATGCTGAAGCATGCTATCAATTCCAACAGCAAGTTCTCCTTTGTCTATGAGTTTCTCAAGACGCTGCGGTGGCTCAACGACCGCATCTTAATCGTGGCACGCCCAGGAAGGACCCTGAAATACCTTGAGGAAATCGTCGCACAAGAGGTTCCCTTGTCCCAGCTGAACAAGACGTATGCAGTCTTGAGTACCGAGTCGCCGGAGCACGTCAGCGAGGCGGCCAGGGTGATTGTGGCAGAAGCTGGCCAAGATCTTTCCAAGATTGGCGGGCAACTCGATGTCGTCATTCTCTTCGACCATGAAGCCAGGCAGGTCGACCTGCCTCCCAAGCTCAGTTGCGAATCGACAATATTCCTGTCCCTCGCCACCATTTGCTCTTTGGAGCACATTTTACTACAGCTCCGTGAAATGCCTTCGTATCCCGATATGTCACCTCTGGAGATCAGCAATGCGCTTTGCCAGGTGACCGCATTGCTGGTCAGGCATCTCAAGGACCCTGAATACGCACCTCCACCTCATGAGGTTGCCGCCGCATTTGCCAGCTTTCTGGAAAACCCCGAGAACGATATTGATTACGTGTCTCAACCCCTCCCAATCAGCGTGGACGAGATGTGGGAGTCACAACCCCAAACTCAAGCTGATAATGGCGAGTTGGGTCGTCGGAAGCGTCCCTTGGATGATGACCAAGACATGATGTCGAAGCGTCGAAAGACCACGCGAGCTTCGTCCTCGGTGCCCATGTCTGAGCTGCTGAGAGACACTTTAGCGCGCCACCCTGTTAATAACGAGCGGTCGGCAGAGATGGCCGAAGTGCCGGTTGCCCAGTTGGAGGGTATGGCGTACCAAGTAAGGAAACTCCCCATGAGGCTATTTTGGAGACCTAAAACTAACTGGCATTTCCAGATATTCAAGCTTGAGAACCGGGTTGACGATCTCAGCACCGTGAACGCGAAGTTGCGTGCACATACTGATCCTCTAGAGAAGGAACTTGAGTCATGGAGAGGCACCCTCAACACGCTTCACGTGAGATATACAGAAGCTCTCAACGACCGGTCCGACTTTGAGAAGGAATGCAAGCAGGCCAACAAGGTCGCGGCAGCAGCCACGGAGAAGCTCGAGAATGTCAAGGCCGAGGTCGCGTCGCTCAAGGAGCATAACAAGGCGCTTGAATTCAAGCTTGCCGAGGCCACACTGGCGATGGAACAGTCAACCGTCCCCGACATTGCCCGGTTTGCCCAGCTCGAGAAGGAACTCGCCGAAACCAAAGCCAGGGCAGAAAAGGCTGAGAAGAAGGCTGCTGCCTTGTCAAACGAAGCCGACTTTGTCCGTCAGAATTACCAGAACGCCTCCAGTTATCAACAGGAGCAGAACCACGAGATGAAGAGGCTCAGGGAAGAGATTGCAGTTCTCACTACGCGGGCCAACGAGAATATCGTCAAGATTCAGCAGATTCACGCAGCCAATGAGCTGGCTTATCATCAGCGTCAACTTGCCGAACTACAGGACATGGTCCGGGATCGCGAAAGGGAGCTGGATCTTTTGAGGACGGAGAATCAACAGCTCAAGAGCGGCCGCAGGGAAACGAGGGGAGGAAGCACCCCGCGCAGCCCGCGGATAGGCGCTATGGGAGGGGTGATGCCCAGCCCGAGACCTGGAAGAGGTGGTGCTGGCAGCAGGGGGACTAGTCCTGCCGCTGCGGCGAGTTCGGATCCTGCCGTGCCTGGTATGGCCTACGCGCCGGCTGGGGCGAATGGGCGGCGGCATCACCTTCGCGAACACCTTCGCGATTAGAAGAGGAGGGTAAACGATATACGTTTGATGCCCCATATCGGTCTCTTGCCATTGCGGCAAGCTTATTCACCAGTCTGCGCTTATTTATCATACGGCCATCAGTTTTCAGTCGTCATCGGACAGGACGAATGGCACAACGGCAACGTGGAAGCTCAAGGATTGCTTGGTTTACTGTACATATTTGCGTGTTTAACTTGCATTTCGTGTAATTGGGATGGGGAGTTTTCGGGATACTGGGGAAAGCATTGTATTGGGGCAAAAGAGTATATACTCTGCCTCTTATTGTTCAGGCGCAGTTTACGCAGCATCAAAGGGGAAATGGAGCGCAATAATCGAGTTTTATGTCGTTGGTCTCGGCTGTTTTGTTTTATTGGTTGCTGCATTTCTCGAGGAAAACTATCAAGGCAGATAAGGGAAGACTATACCGTTAGGATGGTTAGGCATGAAAGTTGTGCTGGGTGCGTGCTCTGCCGGAGAGCTGTTTGAGTTTGAGGGCAGACATGTGGTGGTATTGTTTTGTTGCAAATGATTGATTAGTTAACACCCGTGAGTAGTCGATACGTATTAGTGTTGGGGAATAAAAATGAGTGTGTGTTGAGTGAAACAATCGAAGTTGCTAGTTGTTGTGTCTGCCATTCCAGCTGATGATATGAGTGGCTTGTGTGATCCCAAGTAGAATGATTGAGTAAATCCAACGTGACACCACCACCATACTGGACAAATAATCATCACTAAGACAGCTTGATTCGAAGCTGGTACTGGCATGAGGTTGTGGAAACCTTCGGTGTGGCTGAATGATGGCGTAACTGAAACATGGTCGTCTGAGTGTGCTAAAAGAACATGAGCGAGTGGCGTAAACGCCCATCTCTTGTGGTGGCATCAGCATCTCCTCCCAAATGTTGGAGAGAAATCCGATCTCTCCAAGTTCAGGGGTAAAGGGACGATGAGGGTTAGGGTTACACAACTGCTACAGCTACAACAACTGTAACATCTTGTCTCTGAATATCTTCTGATGTCCGAAAAATTCAGGCAACAGTAGAATTTGAGGTACGATAGCTGTTCCAGTGCTTTCTTCCTTTCCTCGGGAGGTTTCTTTCACCCGCGTGGGCTTTCACCTGATTACAAAGCCAGGCAACCTGGTGGGCTTCCAGCGTCGTTGCTCCGAGGGCGGCGGGCGATAAGAGGGTGATAAGGCGCATTGCCTGCCGCTGAGACGCCCAACGTCACTGGCCTCGCCGCCTCATCTGCAGCCTGCAGCCTTGGTGTCTTTCTGGTCCCTCAAGGTGCAGCAGCTGAGCAAGCTCAAGCCCCTCCAAGGGCTCTATCGGTCAACGAATTCCTAGGACTTTTCGATCTCTTTCCTTTAAGCTTTCGCCTTGTTTTCCTTTCGACTTTTACAGCTAGAGAAGAAGAAGAGAACACATTTCACGATCGGATTCCTTATAATACAGTTTGTTTCCCTTCCGAGCACCCCAGTAATACAACCTTGTCGGCATCGGCCCCAGGACACCAATACCGATATTCCAACCGCTTTTGAAAAGCCATGGATTACGCACGGCTTCGTGCGCAAGCCTTGAGCAATGGTGACGACGAAGAAGCGGTCACTGTCGATACCCGCGCCCTAATCGACAAGGTCTTGGCGAGATACTCTGGGGAGTGGACGACCCTCCGAGAGCTGATCCAGAACGCCGCCGATGCACAAGCTACCACAGTCAAGGTCAAGTTCGAGACAATACCCTCGATCAGCGTCCCGCTTCCACAGACGACGAACCAGTCCGAGCTGCTTAAACATGCCGTCCAGAACCATACCCTCCGACGATTGGTGGTGCAGAACGATGGCCAGCCGTTTACAAAGACAGACTGGGCGAGACTGAAGAGGATTGCGGAGGGAAACCCGGATGAGACCAAGATTGGCGCTTTTGGGGTTGGGTTCTACAGTGTCTTTGCCGACTGCGAGGAGCCATTTGTCAGCTCGGGGAGCGAGGCGATGGCGTTTTACTGGAAGGGGAACGCGCTGTTTACGAAGAAGTATTCGCTGCCGCAGGAGCAGGTGACCAAGGACACGGCTTTTATTCTGGACTACAGGAATACGACGACGCCGCTGCCGAATTTGCTGTCGGTTAGCCAGTTCCTTGCTACCAGTTTGACGTTTGTTGCGTTGGACAGTGTGGAGTTTTGGATTGATGACTGGAGGATATTGTCACTTCAGAAGAAGTCGTCGCCAAGCTTGGGGGTTCCTATTCCGAGGGATTTGGAGACGAGAGCACAGGGGGGGCTTATGAAGCTGAAGGCGGCCGGCCGCACAAGCACACAGATTGATGGGACGTTTATGAGTGTTATCGGGTGGAAGCCCCAGGCGGTTGCGGCCAATAGGAACAATGAGCAGCATGTTTCTGAGATGCCCTCACTCAGGAGTTTCTTCTCGAAGCTTACTTCGGCTACTTCCCAGGCGGCGGGACTGAGAGGAAAGGCTGCTAGGGAGGAGCAGGTTGTACAGGATTCCATTGCCGAGGATCTCACGGCTTTGTCGACATCGACCATTTTTCTTCGGGTTACTGCAGCTACGATCGAGACGAATGTTGGTGCCAACTTTTCTGCTGAGCTAGAGCGAGCTACCAAGAAACCGCCACCTAAGGAGACGAAGTTGTCGATTTTGACTTCGTCGTATGATGAGACTGTTGCGTCGGAGATGTCTGCCTCCAGCCAGGCTGCCAAGGTGGCCGATATCTTTGCGTCAGTTTTGCCTAGCAAGAAGCCGGGTGGTCGTGTCTTCATTGGTTTCCCAACTGCCCAGACGACTGGTGCTGGTATGCATATTTTTGCGCCCTCGGTTATCCCGACTGTCGAGCGCGAGGCTATCGATCTGAATGCTCGATGGGTACGGACATGGAATCAGGATATGTTGCGCGTGGCAGGCGTTCTTTCCCGTCTCGCTTTTATCAACGAGATGGCGGACCTGGATGAGAAGCTCAAGCGACTGTCTACCGACAACAAAAAGGGGCCACCGCTGGCTGATGTGGAGAAGTTCGCGCCAGAGGCTCTCCATATCCTCAAGACATACACCTTTTTGGACTCTACGCCTAGCGCTCAGGTGGGCGAGCTCATTGAAGAGGCTTTTTGGACTGCCTGGAAGCGTCCTACGATTGAGGTGTTTTCGTCGAGAGGTGTCCTGTCCACCTCCAAGGTCCGAAACTCGTCTGAGGTGGTCAGCAAGTTTGTTGGAGGAATTCCGGTTATTCTAAACTCGATGAAGAATGATCTGTTCATCAAAAAGTTGATCGAGTTTGAGCTGATCAAGGATGTCACCGTTGACGATATCTGTCAAGAGCTGGGCTCAAAGGCGATGGACAAGGACCAGCTTCGACATTTTATTCAGTGGATTTCGAATGCCGCTGCCGCTGTAGATTATTCTCAGCCCGACCTTAGACGACTCTTGGATGTTGCTGTCGCGACTGTTAGTGAGGGTGGTGACTCGGGTGAGATAGTCACACTGGGCACGATTTTGTTCTACCACAACAAGAACATTCCTGCGACGCTCCCAGTGCCGCCGACTTGCTTGCCACATGCCTTTACGGCTGGTATTCCTGAGGTCAAGCTTCGCGCTCTCGGGTGGGAGCCTCTGGGGATTGTGCCGTGGCTTCGGTTTTTGATTGAATCTGCCGGACAAAAGGAGGAGCAGAATCTGATGAAGAATGCTTCGTTCGCGGTTCAGGTCTTGACGGTGCTTTCAAAGAGCTGGGATAACCTCAGCCCAAGCTCAAAGTCCTCGGTCGAGTCGGCGTTGCGGAACATCACGGTTATGCCGACCAAGATGGGCATGAAGAAGCCAAACGAAGCTTTCTTTCCCTCTGTCAAGTTGTTTGATGATCTGCCAACGCTCGAGGGGTGTGCCAATGTCAAGGAGAAATTCCTCACGACCCTTGGAGTGAGAAAGACAGTTGATCTGGACACCATCTTCACGCGGCTGTTGAGTCCAACACCTACTTCTGCCGGAGGAGCCGCGCCACGATGGAGCCATATGGAACTTATTCGGTACCTTGCTTCGGTCGAAGCTGATATCCCTGCTGCTGACTTGAAGAAGCTGAGAGAGTCAGCTCTCTGCCCTGCCGAGGATGGACCTCGTGGCATGGAGCCCGCAAAGGGCACGTCACGTCTCTACAAGGTTTCTGAGCTATTCGAGCCAAAGGATACGCTCCGGGCTTTGCGGTTGCCTATTATCCAATGGCCCGGACCTCCAGGTAGCTTCAGGGCCACCAGCAAAGAGGGGCGATTCCTCGCCACGCTTGGTCTGCGACCTTATCCTTCGGTTTCTGAGTTGGTGGACATGATGGCTTCAACAGACGAGGAGCTTCGGAGAAAATCTATGACCTACTTTATTCAGAACCACTCGGTCAATGGGTATGCTGTCTTTGACATCTCCAAGACTCCCAAGGCTATCCTCCCGATTGAGGGTGATGAGAAGGCGCTGGTTTCCCCATCGCAGTGCTTTGTCAATGAGCGGGCTTCTGTTCTTGGTCACAAGATCCTCCGGAGACAGCTTCATGACCATGCGCCGAAGTTTGGTGTTCGGCGCGACCCCGACATGGCGCGTTGCGTCGACAGGCTTTTGGCCAACCCGCCCAAGGACCGCAGTAATGCTATTGCTCTCTTTGAGTACTTTGCCAGTCGGCTCGCGGACCTTGACATGAGCGCCCTGGCAAAGCTGAAGAATGCTGCCATCGTCCCGGTGGTGAGAAAGAAGGGCACATCGTTTGGATTCGGCACCAAGGCAGAGGAGTCGATTGTCTATGTCAAGCCCCAGAACTGTTACCTTGGAAACTCGACCACCTACGGGGACATTTTTGACTTTGTTGACTTTGGTCAGAACGCCAATGCGTTCTTGTTCAAGTGCGGGGCGCGGACGGAGCCGACAAAGCATGAGATTGCCACGCTGGCGTGCAGTGAGCCGGCCCGGCTGCTGAGTGTGATGCAGAGTCCGGATAGGTATCTGAGTCTGCTGAGATCGCTGGCTGATGACTGGAGCACGTTGAGGAAGGATAAGGAGTTGATTAGGAAGATGAGGTCGTCGGCTTGGTTGCTGGGGTCGATGGAGTTGGCGACTAGTAAGCCGAAGGAGTCGGATGATACGAGTTATGAGGAGGAGGATGCGCCGGTGAAGCATTATGTACTGGCTGCGCCGGCTGATATTGTCATTTTGGATGATTACATCAGTTACAGGCTCTTTAAAGATTCGCTGCTGTGTGCGCCGGAGGATGAAGCCCTTGAAGCTTTTTACCAGGCACTTGGGTCCGAGAACTTGGGGAGTCGAGTCAAGGAGCATATTCTGGTTGGCACCAAGAGATCGAGACAGGATGGAGCAGAGTGGCTGAGAAAGCATGTGATTGAGCGGTCCAAGATCTTCTTGCATGAATATGCGAAGGACAAGCGGGAGCTGGTCAAGAGGGATGCGAAGTGGTTGGAAGCGAATCTTCAGGTCATTTCTGTGTCTTCGGTTGGACTGAGGCGGTCGCTTCAGGGACACAACAAGTATCATCAGGAGAAGCGCTCTGCGGCTAGCACCCAGGGCGACAACTGCTGGATCCTATATGTTGCGGCTGAACATAAAGATGATAAGCCGGACATGTACCAGGTCGGGCAGGCCATCTGCCAACTTTTGCTCAACAGGCCGAATCAGTCGGCCTACTTCTTTTTTGAGCCGTTCCTGAAGCTTGGGTTGCTTCAGTTACGGGATCGTGGGTACAATGTCGATCGTATCCTGCGTGCCAAGGCTGCTGAGGCCAGAATCGCGGAGGAAGCGAGACGCAAGGCTCTCGAGGCAGAACAGAGCAAGATTCGGGAGCGGGAACAGGAGTGGGAACAGAATCGTGCGGCAGAGGCTGCGCGTCAAGAGATTAAGACGCCCACTCGTGATCAGATGCCTGGTGCCTTCCACGATTCACCCGAAGATGACCATGCTTTGGCTCCTCCGCCGCAACAACAGAAATACAGAAGGGGCTTCTTTTCTGATTTGACCAGACGGCTGGGACTGGACACCGGGGATGACGGCGAGCAACAAAGGCAACTCGAAAACTTTGCACCTCCCTCCCAACCTGAACGAGACACCAAACGCCCTGTCTCCTCTGGAGAAAACAAAACCCGCAAAGCAGACGACGGCCGGGTCACCTCCCCAGCAGTCGTCCAGCAAAACCTGCTCAACGCGATCAACTCGACCCGCGCTCACGACTCGACCAGCCTCTTCTCTCCCCCTACCGAGAGGGAAGTCAAAGAAAAGGCTGTCTACTGCGACACCACCCCGGCACAAAACATCACTTTCGCGGCGGAGGCCCCCCGCGGAATGCGAGTCTTTATCTCCAAAGACATCTCCACTGACGCCTCAACCTTTTTGGCGAACAATATCGCCGAAATCAAGCAGTTTGAGCTGTTGCTGAGTGACTGCGGGGAGATTTACCGGTTGCCGGCGAAGGCGCTACATATCTTTTATGATGAAACGGGTGGGACGATTGCTTTTAATGCGAACGGGAGTGTGTTTTGCAATTTGAGGTTTTTTAACCAGCTTCATCGTGCTGTGGGGGATAATGGGATAGGGGTGGGGAGGGAGTTGAAGGGGCAGAAGAGGGTGGAGGCTACGACTTGGTGGTGGGTTGTGTTGGCGCATGAGCTGGCGCATAATCTTGTGAGGGAGCATGATGCGAAGCATAGTTATTATACGTAAGTTCTCACTAGGGGGTTGGGATGGGGATGGATGAATGGGGGCTAACATTGGGGATGACAGGGAGAGCTTTATTCAGCAGTATTTTCCGAGCATGATGGCCAAGGCTGTGGGTTGGATGGCTGAGGGTGGGAATGCTGGGAGTGCCTCCGGGGGTGGTTCGGTTTTGCCATCCTCGGGGAGACAGCAGGGTGTTCCTAGGGCTGGTACGCAGCAGAGCACCGCTAGTACTGCTGCTGCTGCTCCGCCGCCGCCGTATACCGAGGGACGGTTTGCGGGGGCAGCAGCCGAGTAAACGGGCTAGTTATTGGTGAGGATGAGGTGAGGGTGTTGTTGGGATAGAGTATGCAGGACATTGGAGTTCTGATTTAGACACAGAGGGCTAGCTGGCTATACATGAGCACGGAGCAATGGTTTCTGGATTCTTTTGCGAGAATTTCGGGATGGGATAGGATGAGACTTGATGGGTTCGGATAGGAACTGGATTAGTGCATACCGCAGTAGGTAGGAATACATGTAAACATTATTAGATGAAGATCAGATGTTGGCGTCGGGGTGTGCTCGGTGTGTTGTTTGTGCACTGGGTAAGAGCGGGAGGCGAGGATGTTTTGTGTTATGAGAGAGAGTGTGGCGCTAGGATATTGCTTTGCCCCTGACAGGCACAAGACCTCCGTGGTTTCGGGGTGGGTTCCGCATAAGTTCTTCCAGTGTCAGCTTCCGGACTCTTGAACGACAGGTCACGGTAGGCATGTACCTTGTGGGCGGAATGGCAGTTCGGACATGCGACGAACTTTGACAGGAAGCTTATTGTGCATTCAGTCTCGGTGGTTGCTCGGGGTGTTTCTTATTTCTAGATGGCGAATGGTTGTCATCAGGAGGTTGATGGCACTAGGTAGTGAGTGTGTGGGCATCACGGTGTCGGCAATAGTACACACAAGTTAGGTATCCAAGTACGTAGGTGCTCAACCATCCCTGAATTGACAACTTGTTATGATTTATCTATTTCGGGATGAACTTACCCCCACACAAAACACACCTCTTCCACCACGCTCACACTTGTAACCGAGAGACAACTCTTTCCTAGGAGAGTATTCTGTGATCAGAAAGGCCGATTACTACCATGTTTTTTTTTGTAGGGCGTACCTAATGTGAATGATGGGAGTTTGAATGTCCGACGTTAGCCATACTGATACGTTACCCCGCTTCGGGCGTCATTGAAGAAAGGAAAGAGCGGGGCAGGGGGGATGGGATGTAAGGGGGGCGTTAGTCGTACTCGGGGGGGGCAAATGCCGAGTGAAGACCGAGAATGCCGTTCGTTTTGAAGTACCGGAAACCACCAGGCACGGGAATGAACTGACCGAGCGGTTGAAGAGAGACAGTGCGTTGCAGATGTCACTTTGATGATGGGAAGGTTTTTTGGTGAGGGGTTAGTGAGGACCTTGAGGGGTTGAGGTGACGGGATGGTCTGTGTGAATTGGGCATCGGATCGGAGGGTCAAACGGCGAACTACACCAATGATCGATGTATGGCCTAGAGGTTGACCTCGGCTCTCAACCTTATCGTCATTGAATCCTTTTCAGAGTGCTTTGCCTGTTGCTCTGGTACTGATTTCATACTCTGGATGAGAGATACTCAACATTCAACGGTTGAGTCGAGGTTCTTTCTTCCTTCAGGTGTACACAGTAAGTCCAGTCCTCCTAGTTTTCAAGCGTGTGACATTCCCCTAATTCATCCACCCGTCCATTGACGAATAGGAAACCGATTGGCAAATACCATCATCAACTGTATGAATTGGGGGCGTTGTCTGGTTCTGTTCCACATTCCCGAATCCCTTGTTTTTTCCCTCCAACCAACCGCCTTCCTTTCTTCCTTTCCAAGATGAGGGGAATGACCGTTAGAGGTCGCTTCGGGAGTCGATCGAACGTGATACACGATCGGTTTTTGCTGAGAGCGAAGAGGAGGAGAAAGGCATGGCAGATGATCACGAACTAACTAATCGAACTGCTAATCGCTAGAGAAAGGGGGGCAATCACTTGGATGCATAAATACTCGCTGCTTCTTTCCCTCTTCTCAAAATATCAACCCCCTTCTCTTGCTCATTCTTTCTTCAATCTCAATTCAATTACTCCTCGGTGCTTGTTCTGCGTCAAGGTAACAGTACCACCACTTACACGCAACAGATATACATCGTACGTCCCGTCCCGTCCTTTACAACTCCCGCCTCGCCGAGTCCAACCATCTCAGAATCTATATAAAGAGATCAACTCCTCTCCCGCCCTCCCGTTTGATCCTCAACCTGCCGGTACTCTTGGTTCATTCAACTTCTATTTCACACACTTCTTCTTCAACGGTAACAAGTCAAAATGGTATTCTTCATCCCCCGTCTGGCCTCTCGTTCTTCTTCTTCTTCTGCCCTCCTCCCTTCCCTACTACGATCCTCCCTTTCGATCCCTCGTCCCGCTGCTACTCGGCTTCTCTTCCAACAAACCCGCCTGCTAACGACGCAACGTGAAAAGGTCAAAGTACTTGCCGTTCTGTACGATGGTGGGAAGCACGCTGAGGAGGTAACTAAACCGCCCCTTTCCTTCCTTCCTTTCCTTACCCTCTCTCCTCTTCTCAACTTTCGCAGTATGGAGGAATGTCAAATGCGGGGTCTGGTGGTTCAATCTGGGGAAGCACACCACACCTACCTTAGAGTGGTCTCGGCATACATTCGGGGAAGTGGGGCAAACATGCAATGGCGGGATACCCATCCCGTGCCGTGTGTTCGGCGCCGGTGGCATGTGGGGTGTGTAAAGGGAGTCGAAGGCTGACGGAACACAAAAATAGGTCCCCGGCCTCCTAGGCACCACCGAGAACGAGCTCGGAATCCGCAAGTGGCTCGAGGACCAGGGCCACACTCTGGTGACGACTTCTGACAAGGAGGGGGAGAACTCTACTTTTGACAAGGAGTTGGTCGACGCCGAGGTTATCATTACTACTCCGTATGTTTCTCTCTCTCTCTCTCTCTCACACACACACACACACACACACACCCAAAAAAAAAAGGGGGTCTGATGAGCCTCACAAGATGTTGATGCTTTGATACAAAAAAACAGATTCCACCCCGGCTACCTCACCGCCGAGCGCCTCGCCAAGGCAAAGAAGCTCAAGCTCGCCATCACGGCCGGCATCGGCTCCGACCATGTCGACCTCAACGCCGCCAACAAGACCAACGGCGGTATCACGGTTGCCGAAGTCACCGGCTCCAACGTTGTTTCCGTTGCCGAGCACGTCGTCATGACCATCCTTGTTCTTGTCAGGAATTTCGTCCCCGCTCACGAGATGATTGAGCAAGGTCGTTGGGATGTTGCCGAGGCGGCCAAGAATGAGTTTGATCTCGAGGACAAGGTCGTCGGTACCGTGGCTGTTGGCCGCATCGGTGAGCGTGTGCTCCGCCGCCTCAAGGCGTTTGACTGCAAGGAGCTTCTCTACTACGACTACCAGCCTCTGAGCCCTGAGAAGGAGAAGGAGATTGGCTGCCGCAGGGTGGACTCGCTCGAGGAGATGCTTGCGCAGTGTGATGTTGTCACAATCAACTGCCCTCTTCACGAGAAGACCAAGGGATTGTTTAACAAGGATTTGATTGCCAAGATGAAGCCTGGTATGTTTTTCTGATGTCAGGACCAAGAAGGTGATAGCTAACAGATGATAGGCTCATGGCTCGTCAACACTGCCCGTGGCGCCATTGTCGTGAAGGAGGACGTCGCCGAGGCGCTCAAGTCTGGCCACCTCCGCGGCTATGGCGGTGATGTCTGGTTCCCCCAGCCCGCTCCTGCCGACCACGTACTGCGGACGGCCAAGAACCCCTTTGGTGGTGGCAACGCCATGGTCCCCCACATGTCTGGTACTTCGCTCGATGCCCAGAAGAGGTACGCTCTCGGCACCAAGTCCATCTTGGAGAGCTACCTGTCGGGCAAGTTCGACTACAAGCCTGAGGATCTGATTGTACACGGCGGTGATTATGCCACCAAGGCTTATGGTGAGCGGGCCAAGCTTGTCAAGAAGGATGTCGCTGGTGCGTAAAGTGGTTGTTGAGGGCGGCGAATGGGATTTTTTAGCAAGCACGGGACTTGGAAGCCTCACACAGGTAGCTGACCGCGGCTTTTTATGAGATATGAAGAATATGATATCGTTAATTCACATATGGGACCGATGCCTGTGAAGATAAGCTGTGAATACTCAGCGCCGGCCCCGACTTCTGCTGCGCCGGCGATCGTGGTGCCTGGACCTTTCGTGCCTATCTCTGCTCCGGCTTCGACTTCTACTCCGGTGTCTGCGCTGGCCGGATTCGCGGGTGAATCTAGGTCCATCATTGTCGTCTTGTCTTGATCTGTGGCTGCGGCTGTGTCGATCATCGTCGCGTTCTGGGCTGCGACTCCTCCGGCGGTGTCTTCGCTCCCTGTCTTCCCCGTCTGGCCTGTCCCGTCTTCGTTCCCTGCTGCGACTGCGATCACGATGACCATCCCGGCTCCTGTGTCTCCTCCTGTGTCGTCTTTCCGAGTCCTCGTCTCTATCGAGATGCCGGTGCCGATGTCTGTGTTCCCTGTCACCCATGTCTCGCGGCGCCTCTGACCCCTTCTTATCCTCCTCCTCCTTCTCTTCCTCCTCATACATAAGTGCCCTCGCAGGCCCCTTGACTACCCTCGCCGATGGTCCATCTGCCGGTACCTCCACCGCGTTCGCCCCGCTGGCATTCCTCACCGGGGGAGGTAGCCCTAGAGCCAGCGCAATCGCGTCCTCCTCGGCCTCCTTGATCTTGCGAATCTCATCGCGGCGCTCGCGGGCTGCTCTCTCTTCCTCTGTCTCGTTCGAGTCGGCGGCGGTGGCGTCGGCTTTGGCGTACCAGTTGAGGTCTCTGCCTTTGGCCCAACGGCCCACGGGGGCTTTGAGGGAGTGGCCTAGGTAGTTTTCTCTGTGGGCCGAGGTGGCTACTTCGTCCCAGGAGAAGTTGACGCCGCCGCGGGAGCCGGTTTTGCGAACTGTGGAAAGGAGGTCCATGGCAGTTAGTTGCAGGGTTGTTGGTGGGGGAGATAGGTGGTTGGAAGGTCGCAACTTCCGGGGTTGGATGTTTGTGAATGTTGACAGGAAGGAAGTCGCGACGTCAGAAAGTCGTTGAACTGGGGAAGGTGCCAAGAATGTGCATCCTGGGGGCTTGCAGGCTGCCCCACTTACCCAACGTTCTGGAAGGTGGCAGGGGTCTGCGGGGCATCGGGACTGCAGGGGAGCTGCCCGCCGCTGTTTACTTTCTGGAGCTCTCTTCTTCTGCTGATTGAAACTCGAAACTTTACAACCATCTTCTCGACCAACCTCCCTTGACCGACAACATTCTCCCCCTTCTTCTCCTACTTGGACGAGTAGCTTACCTTCTATCATCACAAGCAAAATTCTAAGCGGCAGTGCACAATGGCAACCACCTCCTCCAGGAGCGATCCTCTGGATGAGATCCGCTTCACCGGCCCAGTCGAGTTCGAGGGGGGCATCCACAACAACAGTGTGCTCTACTACTTCGCTACCTCGCCCTTTTACGACAAGACCTCCAACAATGAGGTTCTCTTTCAGCAGGGTCTCAACAATCCCAACATGATGCAATTCCTGGCCACCCGAGAGGCTTTTGAGGGCCGCTTGCGCACCATGTCTGGCCTCGAGTTCATCGTTGCCCAGGAGCCAGCCGAGACAGGCCCCGGCGCGGGAACTGGCGTCTGGGTAATCAACAAACAGACACGCCGCAAGAGAAGAGAGGGCGAGGAGGATGAGATCGCTGTCCACTCGGTATACTATATTGTTGGAGAGCATATTCACATGGCTCCCAGCTTTGCTGACATTATGAGCGCTCGACTCGTAAGTTTGCTGATCTTCTTTCGGCTGCCTGCTGGGCCTCGACACGATGCTAATCATTGTTATTGCGATGTACAGGCAACCATCTCCAACTTCCTCAGCAATATTCTTCCGTCTTCAGCTTCCGTCCAAGCCTGGTCTCCTGCAACTGGCCGTGTCTACAACCAACCCTCCACTACCACGGCAGGCTCCAATTCTGTCAAAGCTATCACGGCCTCTGCTCAGCAACAATCTCAAGGTTCAAGACAACAGAGCGACATCGGTCTCCCCACAACCCGCGACTTTGAAAAAGCTCTCTATCTTCATGAGCAATACGGCGATCAGTACATGGATGAGAACCCCATCACCGGACGGCCGGGCGAATTTCACCTCTCCTCCACCGGCAGAGCCAAAGTTAACCTCTCTGCGGCTGCGGCTGCCAAGCCATTACCAGTCAAGCTCCCGACAATCAACACCAAAGTGGCCGACAGTCCTCTCACATCAAAACCCACGGGCAAGGAAACCAAAAGCCCCAAAATCCCGGGCGGTCCGGGGAAGCTCAAGAGAAGGAAGAGCAGCAAAGCTGCTGTTACCCCGTCATAGAGTAATGGGAATTCGCCTTCCTTAAAAGGTTTTCGAGAGGAAAAACCAGGTGAAAGTTTTTAAAACTTGAGGGATGGGAGTGGCACTGATTTAGGGGAAAATTTAGAATTTGTTTAGAATCCCCCCCCCCCCCCCCCCCCCAAACCAGCCATCAACAATTCACGGCCAGCAATCAGGATTTCCAGGGCAATCTTCAAGTTCCCAATATGAGCTCACAGCCTGGGGCAAGCTCTCAGGTCAGTCAGCCCAATAACCAGACGCAGTCAGCGAACCAGAAAAATAAACCACCCCACACCCCCGAGGATGATGACCACCCACCTCTCTTTTTGGGCTCCAGTTCCGCGAAGGATCCTATTTCTGATAAGGACCCTGCTTTTGAGAAGGACACCAGCTCTGGGGAGGATACCGATTCGAAAAAGGAGGTCAGCTCTGAGGAGGACGCTGACCCTGAGAAGGACTCAGGCCACGGGGAGTGCTCAGGTCACGAGGAAGATGCCGCTTCCGAGGAAAACGCCGATTCTAGGGAGGGCTCCGGTTCTGTAACCTCCAGTCCAGGAAGACTGGCCCATGTTTTCAGGGCGGTGCGGGATGACCGTGAAGTGAGACTTGCCTGCCCTTGGGAAGAAGGTTACCTTGATCTTCCAGGCGGGCCTCTTCGGCCTCCTGGCAAAATCTTCAATCCTTTCGATCCCGGTTGGAATCTTGCTCGCAACAGAATGGATGCGCTTGGCCATCCCTATTGGTATTTCGACGGCCCTAAACCGGACAACAACACTGGGTATAGATTCTGGAGACAAGCTCAAAGAGCGGCACGAGTGTGTATCTATCTTCTATGGGCGAGGGGCCCACTGAACCTAGTCACTAAGGACCTGGTGGGCCTCCTGAACATGGATTCGCGCCCAACTGGTGCAAGTGGCCTCCCGGTTTTGAAGCTATTAGCCATCAAGTGCTTTTTTACTATGCTCATGGACAACAGGATGAAAAGGCTGACGACGTGGCCGATGACGGATGATGCTAGTTACGCTCGGCGTAACCAATTCACGGCCTACGTGCTCTCTGATGTGTTTCTTTGTTTTGAATTCACGGGCCGAGAGGGCGAGCCCACAGTGGGAAGGATGCGGAAAGACATGTATACTTACGATTGCATCAACACCTGGCACTTTGAAGGTTTGGCGGCCGGGAGCGACAAGAGGGGCGTCAAAAGAGCCCGGTTCTGGAACTTCAGGTTGGTGGAAGAGTTGGGAAGGCATCTTGACCGCTTTTTACTCCCCCCTAACCCGGACTACAAGGACTGGGCAAAGTATGAACACGACAATTGATGGTATGCACGTGATTGGTTTGAGAGGTCACAAGATGAGAGAGACAGGGAAAATTGCTGCAGTTATCTGGAAACCCTCTGAACGATATGGCGGATAAAGTGTTTGCGAGGCCGCCCGTGCGTGATGTAAAGGACGAGTACCCTGATGCGGACGCGGAGGAGCTGCCTGTTTTACGGTGGATGTGGCATCACCGGTTGATTGGGAGTCGAGCGAAAAGGATTGTGATTTGGAGCGAAAACAAAGGAGAAGGGGAAGGCGCAAGTTTGGACGAGGGAGGAGGTGAGGGGAGAGATAAAAGAGAGGGAGAGGAGGTGGGAGGAGTTGAGGGTGCGGAGGGAGGCTTTCATGGCGGTTGGGTTAATGGAAGGGGGAGGGGGGGAAGAGAGTGGGATCTTTTCGTAGAAGAGGGGGTGTATGTAGCGGAGAATCAAATTCGGAATAGAAGCGAATTAATAATGCATGTTGACCATTTTTGGAGGCGTGTTGATAATCTTTCCAAGGTCTCTTC